AATGGAAAGGAGCTGTGGAGGAAAACCTGATTGATCAAGAGTGCCCAGGCATGGAAGCAGATAGTTTCCCAACAGCAGCGTTTGGCCCTATGACAACATGCAGAGATCAAAGGCAACGTGGGAATCTCCATAGCGACCAGATTGACCCGGCAAGTGGACATTCGCACCCAAGTAAGGACGTAATTTCTCTGGACAGCGTAATGAGCCGCCAATTTTTTTTCCAAGCAACACCTCTCGAATCAGCGAAGAATTAACGTTGTCTCCATATTAACTATTTACTTTTTTTTAGCAACCGTTCTTGGTCGTCTGTGGCCAAAACAAACATCCGATTTTGTCGTGTTTTTGTTTTGTCAGAAAACTGCATCCGTCCGGTCAGTTATGGCTCCTTCGGAGCCTATGGGTCACCTCGGCATGGTTCATGGGAGCAGTGGTCCTCTGCCTTCTCCCCCTCCTCCCTCTGTATCCGCCTCCGGCCCGAGGAGCTCAACAGATGGGGCTCGCCAAGAGCGTGGGGCCATCCAGTCATTCAAGACGTACCCCGTACACAGCATGGAGGGCCCCGGAATAATCGAGTGTGCCCCAGGAGGGTAACAGATGCGGCCGCCGACAAGTGCGAAGGGCCCTCCATTCAAATAGGAAGTGCCCAAGACACAATGTGGAGAGACCCCGAATAATCAAGTGAGCCCGAGCGGTTTACAAATAGGGCCACCGACAAGAGGTTAGGGCCTGCCGTTCAAATATGAAATACCCACGACACGATGAAGAGGCCCCCGAATGATCGAGTGCGTCAAAGCAGGTTAACAAACTGGCCCCGACGAGAGCGTAGGGCCCTAAGCAAGTCGCAGAGAATTGGAAGCGCCTCAGATCAATGTAGAGGGCCCAGGGGCATGTCGCAAGTGTGTCAGTAGGTTAATCGAGACCAACGTAAAGGACCCCTAAGCTACCGGAAGAACCCCGGCAGGCAAACATATGGGGCCTCGGCCAATACCCACAAAGCCTTTCTGGCGAATGGAGAAAATCTGCGGAAGGTCCTTGATTGACAAGAGCACCCCGGCATGCCAGCAGGAAGGCCCTAGCAACAGCGCAGGGCCCTCCGGGCAAATGCAAAGAAATCAAGGGAAACGTGAAAGAGTCCTTAACGGTCGTATGGACCCTAAAAGTGGGCATATAGGTCCCCAGGAAACAGCTTTGGGCCCCTGCACAACATAATGCCGCTTAAAATCCCCAGCTAACAGCTTTTCAATCCTTGAAGACTTTTGGCCGTCTCGTGGGACCTTTACTTTTACTTACAACTGTTCTTGGTCGCCTAGAATCGAGAGATGTCCAATCTTATTGCGTTTTGTGTTTAAAAAACTACACCCGTCAGACCGGCCATGGGGCCCCTTCGGAGCCTATGGGGCCCTTTGGGAGCCCGGGAGGCATTGGCCCGTGGCCTCCCTCGCAATCTACCCCTGCCCCCCTACGGTGTCTGATGACGCTGGCTGCAGGGGTGAGGCAATACACAGCACAGTTCCCCGTGCGCCTCAGAGGGGAATGAGCATTGTCAGGTTGTGAATGCTGTGGAGATGTGAAGCAGCTTTATGGAATGCACCGAGCCGACTCATTCGACCAGAAGTCCAGTCATTGTGGCTGAGAAAAGGGAGAAACATCGCTCCGGTATCACTGGTGATGTGTCCGAGGTGCGTTGTAGGTAAGGTAACGGGGAGGTTTTATCGATATGTTGAATCGAGTGAAAGCGTTAAGTGCACTTGGAGCTGGTTTGAAAATCTGAAATGCCGATAGCTTTTCCCATTTACGAATGGGACCACAGGCCGAGCATCTTGTACTTGAATGGTGATAAATGCACTTCTGGAGTAGCCCACCCGGACCGTGCCGTCACGTGTTCTGGAAACTGATGCCTTTTAACAGCAAATCGCAGCACCATGTAGCTCATAAGTTAAAATATTTCATGTTGAGTTATTGACTTTCAGTATGGTATGGAGTACAGGTTAAACGATGTTGTAGTGCGAAAACAAGGCCACAGTGACCAAAAACCAGCGAGGCTGCTTTGTTTTTTCAATAAGCTTCAAGGATTGTGCTAGGCGACATATTTAAAAAAACGAAAGGTCGTTTAAGGTCATTCTAGGTCAGTGACCTCCTTGGACTTAAATGGAGTTCAGATGACATCTTCGTTGACCTCCCTATCATCAAAAAGCTCAAAGTAATCGTCATCAACTACCCCACGAAACAATGCCAGTAGTAAATAAAATGCACCAAATTCAATCGTCAAGTTGTCACATAAACTTTCTGAAAGGTGTATAGCTTTGTCTGGCACTCTGATGTCGCACCACGTTGAACGATTCCCTGGGAATCGCCCCCGCGGACAGCCATGACCTGATTTTGACCTGTTGTAAGCCAACAGCCTTTCAACGTAAGTACAGTTTCGAAATTTCGAAGATAAGAAAAGTAATTGGCTACAGTTATGCATAGTTGGCGTGCCTCCGCCGCGGATGGTGTGAATGCCTTTCTTTTCAACTCAAACTATACAGTTTTCCAAAAAACAGACGGCAAGTTTTTTAAAAGGTGTGCGCTATGAACTCTGGCGTCTGCTTCCGAGCTGATTAATCGGGCGTCACCTGCCCGCAGCGTTGCCAAGTGAATAAAATTCACGTCATGTCTACCGCCGACGGAAGTGCCGCAGATGTAGTGTGCCCAGGAGCGCTATAATACGACCAACGACCGAACGGAAGTAATATCCCCTACTGCATTTAAGGTGCTCAGTGGAGTTGCAAGGAACATTAGAATACAAATACACAATATAAGTTATGATGTCATTATGCCTGGGTGATGTGTGAAAGCAAGGTAAAAGATAGACAATATTTGCATTTTGACAAACGCTTGTAGCCGAAACACACATGTCTCTGTTTTTACCCAATCTTTATCCATCAGCACAAATAGGGCCAATAAATCCTCTCTTCCTCTATTTAACGAGGTGTGGTCTTGCATTGGTGGAAGCTTCAGCGTGGCGGCTGTGCTTGGTGTCCTGCCTTCAGCGTGACGGGTGCGGTTGGTGTCCTGCCTTCAGTGTAACGGGTGCGGTTGGTGTCCTGCCTTCAGCATGACGAGTGCGGTTGGTGTCCTGCCTTCAGCGTGACGGCTGTGCTTGGTGTCCTGCCTTCAGCGTGACGGGTGTGCTTGGTGTCCTGCCTTCAGTGTGACGAGTGCGGTTGGTGTCCTGCCTTCAGTGTGACGGCTGTGCTTGGTGTCCTGCCTTCAGCATGACGGGCGCGGTTGGTGTCCTGCCTTCAGTGTGACGGGTGCGGTTGGTGTCCTGCCTTCAGCGTGACGGGTGCGGTTGGTGTCCTGCCTTCAGCGTGACGGGTGCGGTTGGTGTCCTGCCTTCAGCATGACGGGTGCGGTTGGTGTCTTGCCTTCAGCATGACGGGTGCGGTTGGTGTCCTGCCTTTAGCATGACGGGTGCGGTTGGTGTCCTGCCTTCAGCATGACGGGTGCGGTTGGTGTCCTGCCTTCAGCATGACGTGCTTTCAACGTAACGGAACGTAGCTCACGAAATCTGCATCGCATGCACCGCCATTCCAAGGGACGTGACGTTATCCAATGTGTTGTGGAATTGACCAATCGCTGTGCAGCTCGTAATGGACCGGCAAACATTTTGACATAAGCTGCTGTGGTGCCGCCGTAAGTCACCTTGCTTTTCTGCGTTGAGAACGACTATAGTTCGCAGACTGGGGCTCAGCGCCACAGCGCCCTTAATGCACCTTTTCAAAATAAATGCGTTTGAATGCACCAATGTTTCATTTCGTAAGACGTTGCGATAATTATTCGTTCGCTAGCGCTGCGGTGTGTGTTTCACGCGCTCGACCGAACATCGCCGTCGAGCTGGTGATGGTTCGAACCCGGGCTACGCGACGAGCTGTGGACGCTGAGGTAGCCACCGCGGTCGCTGCCGTCCACAGAACACAGAAGACACAGACGGGCTGCTCTGGCGGCTGCCTGCTTTGACAAAACCTCGTTGCAGAGGTGTCGGCGGTGTAGGGCTGGCGGCTGGTCGGCTGGCGTGGCACCGCCGGCCACCGGTCCGCCGCACGGGAAGCGCCTCTGGGTCAGAGCGGCGCTCACGTTCCGGCCGCGCCCACCCGGCCTTTGCAACACGCCTATTTCCGTCTAGGAAGCAGCGGTGTTAAGCCACATTCGAAAGGTGTTGGGATACTCAGGGTGTGTGTTCGTGATAGGTTTATGTGTTGACATGGTGACAGGTATTGCACGAAAGACAAACAACGTCTCCGAAACAAATGGGCTGTATGATTTGCTAAACAGCATATGCACTTAATGATCTTATCCATCCTTTATGAGCTTAAACTTTCTCTTCAAACCGTCACATGCTGGATTCGGAATTGGCTGGGCGCTTTGCGTTTGGTGGGATTATTTCCACACCAACTCCTCCCCAAACTATCCCATAGACTCATCCAGAATTTGTTCCCTGAACACTGCAATCGATAAGCCCTGATCACCAAGCACGGGACACCGCACCTGCTCGGCCTCTGGGCTCCTCGCCGCGGTCCGCTCCGACAGTACTCGAGGTCCGGAGGAGTCTGACGGCGCGGTGTCCGCCGGCGCCGGCATACGGCGCCCCTCCGCCGCGGTCCGCTCCGATTGTACCTGAGGTCCGGAGGCATCTGGCGGTACGGTGTCCGCCGGCGCTGGCATATGGCGCCCCTCCGCCGCGGTCCGCTCCGACTGTACTCGAGGTCCGGAGGCATCTGACGGCGCGGTGCCCGCCGGCGCCGGCATGCGGCGCCCCTCCGCCGGGCCGCGGGAGGTCTGCGGCCGGCGCGCGGCCCGACTGGGTCGCCGGGTCAGCCCTGCCGTCCTGTGCCGGCCGCCGCAGCCGCCGGCAGTTGCAACACGCGCCGCCCTGCCCCGCGGTGCGGCCCGGCCCTATATAGGCCGCCAACATGGCCGGCCGCGGACACAGTCGTGCAATAACTACTGGCGCAGAGATGAAGGTGGGTCTCGGTGGGCGATGGGGCGGTCGCCAGCTAAGCGGGATATCAGTGTAGTGGGATCCAACGAGGCTGGCGATGGGGCGGGGCGGAGTGGCTCACTCACGTGTGTGGCAACTGGCTCACGAAACCTCGGCGTGACAAGGCTGATGAACTAAACGGCTGTGGTTTTGCTTTGAGAGGTCTATAATTTATTCCGGGCTTGGAGTATGCGGTATTTGCCTTGTGGTGTTCTGTTTATTAGGGCGCTAAGCAATTAGCAAAATCGTGACGCAAGGTAAACGCAGATGATGGCCACATACGAGATCTAAAGCTGTCGAAATCAGTAAAACATTTTAATTTACCCCCGCTTAGCTCGTTTGTCATTATTGCTGCAAACTATGTGTCATCTAATTGTCTCATTTTTCCGCCATGAAAGCGTGGATGCATGCATATCAGTTAGTGTACAGTGTACGTAAATGCCCTGTATCAGTACACCAGAGAGCCAACCAATCAGACATTTGCTATAGATCGGCTTCACTCCAAGCGTAGCTTTGCGACATCAACAAAGATGAAAATGAGCTTGGTCCTATGTGACACGAAAGCCGACAAAACCATGTATGCACATGCATGCATCTTTTATCGTATACTCCATATTTTCTTGCAAGATCGGCTAACTAAAGATAAGGATGACCCAACCATGCATTTTTTCAGATTAAGCTGCCCGCGTATTAGCTTTGTGCCGCCGGAGTGCAATGCCCATGCTTTGGATAGAAACTCTAAAAAACAATAACCATTTAATGTAGCGTGGCCGTGTGCCATAAGGTGGTTGGTCTGCGACCTAGAGACGACGTCTTCCGTGTGTATTATTTCTGAAACTGACCATGCCGACCGCGGACCAGCCTAGGGTGGGGGCGGCCACCTAACCACAGAGGGTCGCTTGTCCCGTATAGGTAGCCATAAATTGTCGGTGAGTTCGCGCCCCACGAAAATTTGCGTGCATTCTGGATCTTTTTATTTTACCCGTACAAAGTAGGGCCAAAGCAAAAATCTGTCCTAAGTAAAATTAAAGGGGCGCGATGGCGTTCATGCAGTACATATGTCCGCTCCTTTTGGTTAGGTATATCGACTTGCTCGAAACCCTTGACGGCGCCCAGGAGCCTCGACATACTTGCGAGGACATTTCTTAAGAGCAAATATTTCATTCCGATGTATCGAAATTGCATCTGCAGAGGGTGTATTGGGTACCAAAATGTCTTCATCAAAGCTCCGAAGGAGACCGTATCCAATATCTGTATCTGCATCAAAGTTGTATCTGTATCTGTATCTGTATCTGTATCTGTATCTGTATCTGTAATTGTATCTGTATTTGTAACTGTAACTGTATCAAAAAAGCATCCAAACCTGAGAGCCTCAACCGGCCGTAAAAGGTGTCGTTTTCGCCCAAAATATGCAATTGTCACACACTGTCACGTTATGGCACAGCAAAAACGTTTGCTTCGGAAATTCGCCACAGGCATGTTGTGAACATGATAAGTTACGAACAAGTCATGCGTGCCATACAGTGCGGTGCGGTGATTGCATCGCATTTTTATAGAGTGCGGTGATTGCATTGCATTTTTGTACAGTGCGGTGATTGCATCGCATTTTTATACAGTGCGGTGATTGCATCGCATCTTTACACAGAGCGGTGATTGCATCGCATCTTTATACAGTGCGGCTATTGTATCGTACTTTGTACAGTGCGGTGATTGCATCGCATTTTGTTTACTCGGCTTTCCCATGCTACTATTCTTCCGGGATTGCTTCCGGGCGTGTTTGACCCATTCGCGAGGCTGGCAACCATCGGCGCTCAGATGACCTTAGATGTCCGATCGGGAACTGCAGTTATCGGCTATAGCGGCGGCTGCTGTATCCGCCACTCATAATCCACCAGCAGCCATGGCTGCGAGGCTGAATGAGGTGCAGTTGCGCTGCCTTGGGCCCAAGGTGCCCACTCTCACAGCCTGAGGTAGTTTCAGATAGGCGGGTGTGTTCATATTTGGCAGAGGCGTTGTAGAGACTATGCTAACCACAGCCGCGATGGTGGACGCTTGCTGTGTTCTCAGACGTTGAAAACGCATTGAAATCTTTTCAGAAAATCTGTTGCGGCTATTTGCGTGATAGATATGTCCCAATGCCCTCCGCCGTTGAAGAGGCTATTCATTTAGCATATATTTGCTATACACTTCATCTAAGCCCGCCACTTTGATTTCTTCAGTCAAACAATCATTCCTTAAATTTGTATCAGACCTGAGCCAACAAATTCATCGCATTGAATGGAGAGTTCATATTGGGCTTCCGAGATTCAGATGCGCTGAAGTAAGGCGGCATAGGCTTGGTCTGTAAACCATGTAGGTATAGTTACACAAGCTATCAATTATAGGCAATTATAGGCACATAACAAAATCTCAGGGAAGAGGAGGAAGCAATGCCAGCTTTAAACTTGATTTTTCATGCATGGGAACAATATTGACGCTCAACGTTCTCAAAAAGCGGGGACAAATGCTGTCCTATCCCACCTGTTCCAACACCCATGTGTGGTTCCCAAACTGTGAGTCTGTGCGCACATAGTGGCGCACGAGACGTGCGCAGCTATAGCAGTGTGAGGACCGCACGGCTTCGCACTGGCTTCCTTAGTACATGCTTTACTAGCATTTAGATCTCCCTTGCCCTGAACTCCGTTCGTCAGCGTAGCTTTTTCCAATATGCTCAGATGTCTGGAGGAAATATTTGTTTGTCAAGGATGTGTACTATCCAGGTTGTTTCAGTTACCGAGATGCCCTCCCAAATGAACTAACGGTTGCGCCTGAATCGTCCACCTACGAGTAACTTTACGCTGTGGGCTGTGATCTGCATTTTTCAATTTCATTTCGTTTGTGCCACCTGGCATCTTGTGCTGCACGCTGCTGCTACAGCGTCACCTTTCTCGGTACTGCATACCAAGGCGCATTTTGCGGGGCTGGGCAAGCCATAAATGCTTTGTGTCACTCATGATTAGTCACCATGTCTCGACACCTGCAGTTACCTTGCGTCACTGGGTTGTGCAAGTGCAGTTCAGTAAATGGTCTTAAGACACAAGCCTCGTGTTAAGCCCATGGTGCTCCTCGCTGGCTAGTTAATTGAACTGAAAGGCCCCATGACAAGCTCTGCATCAAGCACTGATATCCTGATGACACGGCGCTCTGACTCACACCACTCCCTGTATGGGATGTCTGGGCGCGTCGACGCTCCACCGTCGACGGATCCCCTTCTTCCGCCCAGCTGTCACGAGGGCCCCTCCGCCAGAGCCCGCCTGCAGAGGAGACAGTCGTCTGACCCGGTGTAACAGCTCAGCTCGAAAGGCGTATAACACGCACAGAAGGCCTACCATGTTATCACATACCGCTCCGCGTTGAATCTTGGCTTGTGCCAGCTGCCTCATTGGCGAAAGGCTCGCTGTCAGGAACAGCTGTCTTCATCCCACGCTGTGGAATGGGGGCAAACGGCCGAAGCTGGCGAAAGGCTTGTTGCCAGGAACAGCTGTCTTCATCCCACGCTGTGGAATGGGGGCAAACGGCCGAAGCTGGCGAACGTTGATTGCTTTAACATATAACAATCACGAAATCAACACACTTTTCGTCTCGAGTTTGTTAAAAAGCTGTTGGAGCGTCCTAGGAGTTATATCGTCAGATGATAATGATGTGGTAATGTTAAATTCGTAAGTATTGTGCTGGCAAACATTGCCGTTTGTGCTTCATAACCACCATGCGCCATAGGCTGTGTCCTGCGTTATATATGACTGGATGTGAGACGCAGTTTGTTAGAATTTTGTCACTAAAACAAAAATTGTGTATCCCAAATGTCAGACATTTTGCCTCTGTAGTTTGTTCCGTGCCTGACACACTTTGCACAACAAATATCCGGTAGTTACTTCCTGTCCAAGGGCATCAGATGGCGCGATGGAGCTGCGCCGTTATATTCCGGTTCCGGCTCTGCCGCGAGCCGCGGCGCCCTGCCCCGCGGCAAAGGTGCAGGGTATACTGACCGTCACCTGGCCCCGTTTCTGACGGCCGCGGAACTGACTTCGGCCGCCCCAATACGTGACCTGCCGTGGCTCATAGCCCTGTTCTTCAAAAGCTACTGCAAACCCGTCCCTTTCTTCGAGAAATGCCCATTCCTTCCTTATGACGTCACGACCCAAGCCCATTGGCGAAGTAAGTGCGTTTGCTTACAACTAGGTCGTCGTTGCCGAATAGCAACGCTTTGCAACGGCCGATGCGCTGTTGTCTGTCTTTATGTCCAACAATTAGGCAGGTCTCGATCTCATGTGGAATGTGTGATCAATTATGATGCATTAGATTTGCCACTACAATGGATATTTCATGCCAATAACTGTTATATTTGTCATATCGTTATATTTCACTCGCCAATACCCGTTGTTCGAATAATATTCGCGCGCCACTCATGTGCGCTATGTCTCCAGATGTTTGGACCATCTGATTCTACTTGTGCCCATATTTGGGCTAAAGCCTCTCCCCATCGGCGTGTATCGATGACGCCACCGCAGTGGACGGAGCTCGAGTCTTAATTCAATGAGGGACTCGGCTCTGGTGTGCCATATCTAGCAATTGGTCTTGCCGCTGACAATGCGAAACTGGCTTCGGCTGCCCCTTCCCACCCCCCTCTCACCAACACCACGTGACCTGCCGTGGCGCTGGTGTGCCATATCTAGGCGACTAGGCCTGCTGCTGACGGCGCGGAATTAGCCTCTGCTCACCCCCACGACGTGACCTGCGGTGATCATGGCGTACTGTTTCTTAACAGGCGGCACTGCTGCTGGCGGCCGCGGCGTTAGCCTCAGCTGCTCCACAATACCATGCAGCAGCAGCGTACGACAGCGGTGCACCAGAAACGTACAACGTGAGTGAAGCACAGCCGGGGGAGGGGAGGGGGCGAGGGAGGGGCCGCCGTCGGAAAGGATGGACAGCGATCGACGTCGTCAA